ACTTTACTCAGAGGTGAAAAGACTGACACTTAGTTTATTAAAACAAAAATAAAACCTGAATCGATAACCTAAATCACTAGAGATGCTAGAGATGGGGGGGAGGACGTTTATATGGAAAATTTTAATGTTACTATGGTAAAAAATTTAGCAAAATTTAACGGAATAGTAAATTGGATATTTTTATTGTTGAGTTTCAAAACTATTAATTTCTCCTGGTTTTAAAAGAAGTACATAAAATGGCTAAAACGGATTGCAAAGATACTTTGAGCGCAATTTCACCAATACTCCTGTAACGTAATGCGCGAATTAAAATTGGCTTTACTTTTGTCAATAGGGATTGGTATTCCATTTTAAATATACAGTTCACTGCAATTTGCAGATCAGTGGTTTCCTACCAAAATCTTCTTTTTGCATTTGTCCTTGACTTGTTAATAACAATATTACCGGTTCAAAAGAGTGGAGGGAAATTTGTGAAACAAAAGGGAAGAACTTGTTATAGAATAATGGAGAAACTAAGAAAAAAACATTGGTTCTGGGAAGTTAATATACCAAGGAGAACAATTAGAACAATGTAGACATGGGTAACGCACTAAAATTCTTTGCGTTGATACACTAACTCCGGCGCACTGTATTACGCCAACTCATTGCGTTAACGCAATTGCGTTACATCACTGCCTGCGCCGAATAAGTCAATGCGTCTCGGTGTATCCCGTGATACCGGTGTTATCTAGCGCAGGCTGTCCTTTTTAAGTGTCAAACCGTGTTCAATGGGAATTCAACTAAATTGATTTTTTTATTAAATATTTAATAATAAACGAAAATATAACAGTTTAATGCACTCATTTTTTTATTTCATTGTGTTCGGATTTTACAAAGAATACGAAAATTCAAATCTCTATAAAAAGGAGAGAACTTTTGTAGTGAATTATTACTAGTAGTCAATCAAAATGGCAAGAACTGACAGTGTACAAGGTTAAAATCCAAAAAATTCTACTTACAAATGATGTGACGTTGCAAAGAACGTAATTACTTGATATATTTTGAGTATCTGCATTACGAGTTACATTAATGACGTAAATTTAAAATTCTCAACTTGTCACGGAAAACGGAATCATTGCCTGGCCATGGCGCATCAACTCTCGACCCTTTCGACTCCGTATCGAAAATTGCGTTTCATTAATACAGTATCAGCCGGCGTATCAACACTCGTAACGCATACCATTGCGTTAACTCAATAACGCAACACAACGCTGCGTTACCCATGTCTAGTACAATGAACAGCTTAGGAATAGGACACTCTGGACATCAACTCACCTGAATAGAATGCTGTTAGAGTGCCCTAACAACCTGCTTAATGTTAACCCGCTCTACTTCCGAATGCTTAATAGTTTAGAACCTCTGGATGCAGCCCTATTCCTAGAAGACTACCTAAGAAAACCCAGTGCTTATTCTGCTTCATTAATTTGCGAATTCCTTAGAAAAGTAATATCGAACTGTAATCAATTAAAATATAACAAATAATTTTAGATTTTTACATCCTAACCAAGAAAAAATTTATGGTGAACTCCAGACGCACACAGTGCGAGTTTAAAAGACTAACGATTGGGCAGACAGCGAAAGCTAAAGAAGAAGGTTCAAATAAGAAAATGACATTAGAGAACAGGCAGCTGAGTATAACAAATTCCACAAAATTCATAATCAAAAACGCACTTTAAGTAATTTCATTATTTTGACGTTTTAACCCTATTACGTGGGGTATTTCTGGGACTATAGGATTACATTTTTCACTCTGCAGCTGAATAATAATAATAATTATGCATGAGTTTTTGCTCTTCCACACAACAACTAGCAATTTCAACAGAGTTTCAATAATTAATACCCATGAAAACTGCATTTTTATCAACGGGGTCCCCGGAGGACGTCACGTAGTGATTGTTTCATGAGATATATTTTATAATGCATATTTTTTGCATATTACGTGTACTCAATGCACACCTCCCTAGCCTTATCGATTCTTTATGAACAGTTTTCTCATATATATAGCAAATAATCCAAAGTTCCTTCTAAGAAGAAAATTTCTCTACACTATAGGCACGGAGTTAGCTAAACCCAACATAGAACGGAGACTGAGAGATGCAAAGAGAAATTCTACAATATGCTACATTGCAAGAGCTGTCCCAATAAATCCAGAAGAAACGAGGAAGGTGTCATCTGTCTATTTCTTCACTTGATAATTGAACTCATCAAGTGAACTATTATTTATTTGCGCAAATTGCAGATGCAGTATCGAATAATATCTCCATTTTAAAGTTTTTTTAGTTTAATAAAATTTCCTGGTTTATGAACACAAGTTTCTTATTTATCTAAAATAATACAATTTTCATAAAAAATAAAGAAAATATCTAACTTGGTATTCAACATGATAAAAAATCCACCTTTCCGTAAAATATGGATGAGGTCCCTGAATATACATTGCATAATATTATATGTAAGCTTTTACATGTCTGTTAATACCTTACCGTTTTAATATCACCAACAAACAACAATTTTTAAGAATTCATTCTAACAGTATATTAGTACAACCCACCAGATTGTTATTGATTTTCTTCAGATATGCACAATCTTTATGATTTTCTAATTGGAACGTTGTGTTCTATTTAATTTACTAAAATGGACAATACTAAAGGCAATATACGAACATATTATTAAGCTTTCAAGTAAAACTGGAGGCGATAGCTGCCTTAATGCATCAGGATCTCGTTTTTTATTTTCCAAACCATCACAGTCTTTGTGCTTCGATGTATTTTATATCTCCCGTATTTATCAGGCTCCTTATCTCATGATTCATAAGTTATTTATCTTTTTTTGGTTCTAGAATTTTTCTTCAGATATTTCTCCCTAATATTCTTAACCTTTCCTCATCTTTCTAACAGAGATACATTATTTCAAGTGCATATGTCTAATTATTGATTTATACATTTGTATTCTAATTATTTTACTGAGGGTTCTGTCTTTTAGTAATCTTTGATCTTTCCAATATTCATTCATTTGTTTTTTCATTCTTTCGGGTTACTGCAACTACAAAATATTTAAAATTATTTACTTTTTGAAAGCTGCATTCTCCTGTTGTAATCTATCTCTTAAAACTCAATACTAATTTTGTTTTGTCTTTGTTGCCTTTTTGCTTTCTGCCTCTTTGGTAAGTGAAGACAATGCTTTCTCCAAACTTCTTCTGTCTCCGGCTTTTGAAGCTAGATCGTCAGCGTCAGCTATATTTTTGTTGATATCTGAGCTTTGTATCATTCCATCAAGTGCGAAATTGAATACTGTTGTGGATAGACCATCCCCTTATCTTACTCCATTATCTATGTTGATAGAGATTTATGTTTCCATTATTAGTAATTTTTGCTGTCGAATTGGTCATTGTCAGTTTTGTTAGTTTAATCAACTTTTCAGGAATATTAATTTTTTGCACTTCTTTTATTAACTCATCCCTTTTTTAATTGTCGAAGGCTTGCCGAAAATCAATGAAAAGTATATGCAACTCTGCTGCCTAATCATAGCATTTTTTGATAATGTGATAGTTGTCATTCCTGTGGAGACATTGCTACATGACGAACCTGCAAAAAAGTTAATAAGTTATTTATATATACCTTGGGTTTGTAAGATCGTCGTCCTCAGGACACAAAAATCTACTCATACTTGCGGTGTATATAAATTTTTATGTCATACTAGTTCATTATTGCATTCATAATAAAATTTAAAATTAAAAAATTGAGAATTTGATTTTTAAGAAAGATGAATCAATGTTTGATGCAGGCAATCTATCATTGGGTTTGTCAAGAAATGCCATTTTAATGTGAGTTTTGTTCAACATAAACCAAATCAGTTTGGGTACTGTCGGGATTCTATGCAGTCTAGAATTCGTGTTCCAACAAACGTTAGACTCAAAACTGTACAAAAACATAGTGTTCCAAGTTCCAACACAACCAAAACTAATCACAAACCGATTTGTGTATAGTGAAATCAGTTCCTGGGTCTGAATAAGAACGAAATGTCAAGACATGCGCAAAGCCGCAATTAACTGAACATTTCGTGATTGTAATTATATTATTTGTATCTATTGTCTCGGACAGTTCTGATTTGTATTTGTTAATCGAGTTCAGTCGTCATAGTTTTTGTTAATTATCATTTATTTTATTTTGTGGTTTGTTATTGCCTGTTAAATTTAAAAAATGTGTTCTAACATAATCGACCAGTACCTGACAATTACTAGTCATCGACAGATTGTCAACAATGTTAAATAGATACTTATATATGATAATTTTATTAATAAAGTTAACCAAAAACTGTTTTCTTGTCTTTGTCTGCATGAACCATAGAGTGGTGATTTATTCCCACCAGGTAAAAGCTACACTATTATGTAGTTGATAACTAAGCAATAAAAAAAACACAATAATGAACTAGTATGACAAATATATTTTTAAAATTCAAAATCTGTCAATGATAATGAAATTTGTGTTGCATTTCTTCTTTATCTAATAAATTGAAAGAAAATACTAAGAAAAAGTCTTATTGATCTGATGTGATTTTCAAATAGTGTAATTGGCTTTTCTTGACATTTTCCAATGTCAAAAGTTTCATTTACGGATTTTAGAAAGAATTAAACAGTGTAAGAAAATGTGGAAAATATTTTGTCTTAAAAATTGTTGCCAGTGATACATAGTTGATATGTAAACGAATTTATGAGCCTATTTCATGATATTACTTATTGACAGTAACCACAGCAACTAGGAAGTGTTCAACCATAAACAGACGCCAAATAGGAGACATGAAATATACATTTTTAATATTAGATGATTTTTTTCTAAAATATTAATATTACTAGTAGTATGAAAAATGTCGTATGCACTTCAGCTTGTAAGTGATTTCCAGGTTTCGAACTGTATTCTTGACCTATAAATTAAAATTACCAAATCTTGGTAAATAAATGTATGTACCTGTTGCATGTAATTGTTATGTGACTGCTGTTGCTGCATGTGCTGCTGCATATTCATGTGATTTGGCACTGGTCCCATATTGGACTGCATCATTCCCTGATGGGATTGAGGTGACGACATTCCTCCCATCATGGGCGGCTTCTTACCAATGGGCGACTGTGCGGGCGGCGTGGCCGAAGGTGGCGCCGACATGGGCGGTGAAGGAATAGTTCCCTGCGGTTGGTATGACGAGTATTGACTCGGTGCACCACCCTGGTAGTTGGGGTAGTTGCCGTACATGCCTTCGTTTTCTCCTGCACCTTTTGAAACAAGACTCGCCCTGTACGCTGCTAGAGCTTTTAAGTATTCCTTTTTGGCTGCTTCCGTCTTTTTCTTGTACACCTGCAAATAATTTTTTTTAATGTATCTAACAATCAGGTTAAAACCATAGAAATATATATTTAATATATGTAATATTTTGACATTAAACTTAGTTAAAATACCGATATGACCTCACTTTTGTGAATTTAAAACATTATTTAGTTATTTTCTTGCTACTAGATATTATTATGAAAATTAAATAAATAAAATCATAAAATGTTAATGACTTTTTGTTGTAAAGTGCATTTTATTAATCTTTAAATAATTATAGTTCTTTAATATATTTACTGTTTAATATTGGAAATAAAATGTTTTATCGCCAATCGTCTATAAAGCCATGCATTACCATAGCGATTTGCAGAAGTAAAATCAAATACTTTATCTATCGCTAATATTTATCAAGATAGCCATGACCGTCTGACAGAAATAGTATGAAATTGATTTGTTTTGTAATCGCCTTTATTTTTCTGCTTGTTTACTTTGTCATACTAAAATGTGATGTTATATCTCCTTTTTTTATTATAATTATTTACGATTGTCGATAAAAGTTTGTATGGACCACGTCAGCAAAGCGTCTTTATCGAACTTGTCTGTTACTCGTCTCGCTTGCTTCTATCGCTCGGCTCATCATCTCAGACTAGTTCGATAAAGAATCACTTTGCTGACTTGGTACGTAAATAACTATTATTGTTTTTTTGATATGGTAAAATGGTAAAAAACTATTTTTACTTGAAAAATTCTTTTAATGACACAATGTTGTAAGTCGAAAAGACAATTAGTAAGCGAAAAAAATCAATAAAATCAGAATTATCACAAAAAATATGAATTAGGGCGTTATTCAACGCCTACCTAGAGCTCTAGCTCAATACTCCCCTCTTAGTTTCTACCTCGCCAGGTTACTATTCTTGATGTATTCAAGAATATGTCTGAAGGGCATTTTCACGATTATTTGGGCTCTATAGATTGCTTTAGTTTTAATTAAAGAACCTATAAGATTTTAACAGGCGCGGATGGGGGGAGTAAATAATATTAATCGTTACCGCCATCTTGTTTTTTGCTTTATCGTAAAATCTCGAGTTACAATTTAATAAATTGCAGTAGCTCTTTGAGCAGCTTGGGGGGTAATTACCCTTTTACTCCCCACCCACCCTTATCCGCGCCTGGATTTTAAACTATTTGTATTTCCAATTATGACGTTTATCGTAAATAAATTTCAAAATCTCTACTTGAATTTGGTCAATATTAAGATCCTGAAACTGTTATTTGCTTATGCTTCAATTTTTGCTGCCATTTCAGCTTTTAACTGTAACTGTTCTATAACTTTATAATCATATTCTTCTTTATTACCTATTCAACGGGCTTTTCTTGTAACTAGTACTTATTAATAGTCATAGTTAACATTTTCAATTCAGTTACTAATTGTTTTCTTTTAGCAGACAACTGTAGATGTTTAATTTCTTTGTGGTCCAATTATCTTATCACCAAATGAATACTTTCAAGGGTTAGTTACACCTAGTGGTCTTTCTAACTGTGTTACTTATTTTATATCCCTTACCATTTAGACGTGGCAGTGGAAGAGGGAGGAGGAGTTGGGGGAAAAGTATTTTTTTTTTTGTTTTTACGATCCTCTATCCGTCCATGTAATATTGTTCATGTTGGTTTGAAATTAAAGGGTGCTCATGTTCGCTATAGGCTAATTTCATTAGTCAATCAATTTATAATTGTAGATTAGTGGATTTCATACAGCGTCCCTACTTTTTCATAGGGACAGCATTGCTATTTCTTGAACGGTAACGGATAGAAAGTTGGTTAAATTATTCAAAAGTTGCGCAGTATTGTAGTCATTAAAATGAAGCCAAGAAACCTTTGATATCTACAAGGAGGGTTGGCTTTTTTTTTTACAAATTTAAAAGCAATCTCTAGATATTGTACTTACCTCAAAGTGCCTTTCTTGTTCACTTTTAAGATTAAGATTTTACAATTTTTTTTATTGTTAACATTAAAGCTCGTCAATAGCTGCACGGCTCACAAACAAAAGAGAGAATGGTACTTAACCAATTTGTCTTTGCCTATTTATGTATAGATATGCAGCAATTCTGCCCTTCTAAGCATAAAAGTCGTATCTGACAATACGACTAATAATACTAAATAGCCCTTTTCGCATCACAAAAGTAATATTTAATGATAGAAACGAAGTTGAAAACTTACAAGAAGGCTTCAAATGTAAGAGAACCGTTGTAGCCGAAGACCCTATTAAAAAATGGATTAGCATACAAAACGGATCGCAAACGATGCCTATAAGCGAACGTCGCTCCTGATTTTTTTTGGCAAAAGTGGCCTATTATAAGCGAAAGTCGCTTAATTTTTTTTTTTTTTTTTGGCAAACGTTGCCTATAAGCGATAGTTGCTTAATTTTTTTTGCAATCATTGCCTGTAAGCGAAAGTCGTTTCTGATTTTTTTTTTGCAAACGTCGCCTATAAGCGAAAGTCGTTTGATATTTTTTGCAAAAGGTGCCTACAAGCGAAAGTCGCTTGATTTTTTTTGCAAAAGTTGCCAATAAGCGAAAGTCGCTGGATTTTTTTAGGCAAACGTTGCCTATAAGCGAATGACGCTTACAAAATAATTAGCAAACGGTTTCTCACAGAATTAACCTGTTTTGTTTAAATTTTGTTTAGGTATACTTTATAACCTACTTTACAATAATGTATTTTTTTAATAATTTTATTTTTTATGTTGCCTTAATGATTAGTTAGTATAGTTTTGCAAAATTGAAATATTTCAGATATGGCAATTTTGTTTAAAAATAGAGGCGAGTTTGTAGATATGACAATTAGTTTTGAATGTAAAACGTATATTTCTGCTGCAGGTGGGTTTATAAAGAATATATTAGAAACTTCAAAAAAGTCCCTGGCAATATAGAAATTGAGCGAAATACATCTTTTTTTGAAATTCAACTACAAATTTCAATCTTCTTTTGATAATCTCGTCTCCACTTGTTTATTTTGTTTGGAATTTTTATTGTTTCTCATATTTCTTGTTAGAAAACATGTATCTTTCATACATATATAACTAGATATATTATGGTTAAACATAATTGAGAAGGGGTCCAGAAATAAACAAAATACGTGTGGCACTCGGGGACTGCCGCGGTAAAGCTATTGCATAGCATTTTTTATCAACTTATGCAATTATAATTATTTATTTTATTTATGCAGAATTTTTTTTCTTTGATATTATTTCAAGTTTTTTCTTTGATATTAATTCAAGTTACACTTTTTGAGCGTGGTGACCGATAAGAAAACAATTGCTTTTCTTTTATTGAATAAATGAGAAATTAATATTGTTTAAAATATTTTTATTATTTTACAATACATGTAGGTTATTCAGGAATTTTTATCATTGAAACTATAGGTTTATGGTAACTGAAATAAAAAACATAAGTTTGAGACCAGATATCCTCTAAATATCTGGAAAATACTGCGTCAATGGTGGTCCCATATTTTGTTGTGGATTCTTGTGGATCATTATTCATTTTCAAATTCAATTTTTCCGAAATTGTGTCTAAACGAGATAGAATCAGTTATGAGCAGTTAGCAGCTAGTCTACACGCATACGTCTAGTCGCACGCACACAAATACCGTGCCGAAGTCTGCCGAACTGAAACGACGGTAGACGATGCACGGCTTTGAACGCCGCACCGCTGTGCCAGTCGGAGTGGGGGGTGTTAGGTTTTTCGATTTTTGGATTTTTCGATTTTTCGTTTCGATTTTTCGATTTTTAGATTTTTAGACTTTTAGATTTTTAGATTTTTAGATTTTTAGATTTTTAGATTTTTAGATTTTTAGATTTTTAGATTTTTAGATTTTTAGATTTTTAGATTTTTAGATTTTTAGATTTTTAGATTTTTAGATTTTTAGATTTTTAGATTTTTAGATTTTTAGATTTTTAGATTTTTAGATTTTTAGATTTTTAGATTTTTAGATTTTTAGATTTTTAGATTTTTAGATTTTTAGATTTTTAGATTTTTAGATTTTTAGATTTTTAGATTTTTAGATTTTTAGATTTTTAGATTTTTAGATTTTTAGATTTTTAGATTTTTAGATTTTTAGATTTTTAGATTTTTAGATTTTTAGATTTTTAGATTTTTAGATTTTTAGATTTTTAGATTTTTAGATTTTTAGATTTTTAGATTTTTAGGTTTTTCGATTTTTCATTTCGATTTTTGGATTTTTTGATTTTTCGATTTTTCGATTTTTCGTTTCTATTTTTCGATTTTTCGATTTTTCGTTTCGATTTTTCAGTTTTTCGATTTTTCGTTTTTTCGATTTTTGGATTTTTCTATTTTCTTTTATTGAATAAATGAAAAGTTAATATTGTTTACCGCCGCACCGCTGTGCCGGTCGGAGTGGGGGGGTGTTAAGTTTTTTTTCGTTACGGTGTTACGGAATTTCTTGATTCGGTCTCCGCGCTCAAAGCCCGCGATAAAAGCTATGCAATAGCTTAAAAAGACAACACTGTTATTTCGCCTAGGTGTTTAGTTTGTTTTCATGCCCCACATCTAACAGTTTTGTATTAAATATATAAAAAATGTAATACTAATTACAATATTACTGAAAAAAAATTGAAATTGAATCTTCAAATCAGACAGAAATATTAACATCCAGCGATACGTATTTAAAATTCGGTAAGCAGTATAAACGAGTTCAAATTTTTAAATATAAATGTATAAATGTAAAGTCTCTTTCATAACGTAAATTAAACTTATGTTTAATACAACAATTTATATACATTAAGTGGGTTCATGTTCACTTTTATATTACTCATAAAACTTAATTAACGGTTCTAAAATTAGTACAGTATAATTAATATAGTTAATGCATGTTTTTAACCAGTCTAATTGGCTCTGTTGAAATTTATTTTATATTACTTCAAATGTCAAGACTCTGATTAAGGCGAATATTAATGGTCTAGAAGAATAATTATAAAATGTCTTTTATCTCTCTTCGTGTTTATAACTTGTAAGAAGGTTAATTAATAATTTTCAAATTTAATTTAAAATTTAAAACAATTACAATAGGTACAATGATTAAAGGAAGAATAGAAATATTATATTGTCTTTTAATTCTTGCTCATTTGGGACAACATATTAAAAAAAGCAGATTGAAAAGTTGTAACCCTACCAAAGGATTGACATTAACATTAATTTTAAGATATTTTAATTTTATATTAAATAAAGTAAATATTTTATACTTACATTTTTGTGTTCAGAATCTAGAGCATCCCACATGGAAGCAACAATTTTGGAAACTTCTCCAAAACTTGCATTAGGATTTTGTCCTTTAATAGCGGCTTGGGTGTCTCGGAAAAATAATGCGTATGCTGATACAGGTCTGAAAAAAAATATAATTAATAAAAATGCGCCATGTACACAGCATATTTTAATAGGTAATTAGGTATTAACCACTTATTATTTCTATTTTGTTCTATTTCAGTAAATAGTAATTAATTGCACAAATTTAAAAATGTTTATTACTTTTTTAACATATTTACGAACGAATTTTGTTTTCAAAATTGAACAATTTTTATAGTTTGATTACTGAGATGACACACTACATAACTACGATGTATAGAAATTACTAATTGATAAGAGCAATGGGTGAACCATTTAAAAATATATCTGCTTCTTTTATTTAATGATTATTTTATGTCTGTATTCTTTAACTATTATCGATATTGTTTAAACTGCAATCGGTTTCAGATTAAAGCAAAAACGAACTAGAGACAAGAGCTAGAGCGGCCGCGGCCACGACTACACCGGAACCATAGGTAAGGGAAGAATAGAATGGCAACTCAATGTTAAATTATCAGACTATGAATTGAGCGCTATCTGACGGATTGTGGACGCATAATGTAGCTAGACATAATGTAAAAGACCATAAAGATTAGAAAACGATCATTGGCTGTAAGCTTTATTTAAATACGCACGTTTCGTGTAGAAGCAGAATTAACCAAAGTCCTCAGTCAAGAAAACAAACATTGAGGTTACGTCATTTTAATTTTTTTACAAAAGGGCCGATTCCACCGTTGTGTTAAACTAAGCTTAAATTACTAAGATTAAAATGACATTGTAATGTAAAAATGTAATTTTAATATTAGTTTGTAATTGAAACTTGGTTAACTCAACGGTGGAATCGGCCCTAAATAATTAAAGCCAAATTTTCTAATATATTTAATTATAATACTATTTTTGTGTTATCTTGTTTATTTTAATAGTATTTTTAATTCAAAGTTACAATTATAATGAATGCTAAATGTGGAATTTTATTTACATATCTACTTGAAAAGTTAAGGCAGATTTAAAAACAAATAATAAATGTCTTAGGACTGATTCCACCGTTGTGTTAAACGAAGTTTAAAATGACATTTTTACATTAAAAAAGTCATTTTAATCTCCGTTTAACACAACAGTGGACTCGGCCCTTAAATATTAACAAAGCATGAATACAAGTTCTAACACTAGCAAAAACCCAAAAAAACACACATAAAAAACCAAGAAGCACACGAAAAACAGAATAAAAACTAATAAAATAAATGTACTTTTCAATTTTCCAATAATATAATTCGCAAAAAATAAAATCCAGTCACCCACAAAGGACAAACGATAAATAACAAATTTTGGTATGTCAAAACAACTGACGTTACAGGAAAAACGAAGAATTATAGTAACGCCCTCTGTGAGATTGGTGCATAGTACTAACAGTGGAATATGAATGGAATGTGTATATCCAAGTGCGCATACCCTGACTGGAACTGGTCGCTGACGACTGACTGGCCGCATATCCAAAGGTGCGCGTTAATCCACTGTTGATCTTATTAAATTTGGTCGTCTGCGACCAGCCGTGGTCGCTTTAGTGCGGCTTCGCCTTTAGGCAAGGATTGGAAACGCAAATAGTTTTTTTTTACTTACAAGGGTAAGCTCACTGTGTTTAAAACAGGTGCATATTAGTAAATTGTTTTTGACTATTAAAGAGAATTATGATTTTTTGAGAGAAAAACCGTTTTTTAAAAAAAACTCAATTCCTGAACTACAATGCTAATGTATGAAGAATAACTGAAGAATTCATTATAATAAACAAGTTACATATATTTATAAGTTTTAAAGTGCTGACTAAGTTAAAGATAAAATATTATTTACTACTTATTTATTGTTTCGGCCTTTACTTGATGAAAATCCATATTATCTTAAATGAGTAAAACCAAATTTGGTAGATTTTCACAAAACTTTTATTTTAAAAAAATAAAAATTAAAAACACTACACGTGACATGTTTCGAAGTACAACTTCTTTTTCAAATGTGACTAATTTACAATTCGGTGTCCAATATATATGCGAAGTAATTTAACCAAACAAAGTAATTAGAAAATACATAAATAACATAACAAAATAAACTGACTATTTAAAGTAAATAAGGGTACTTAAGTAATTATGATATCAATCAGATAACAATAAGAAAGTATCATTACCGGGATTATCTCACAGAAAACTAGGAAAGAGATTTAATAAAGGTGAGTTATTAATATCTAATTGATCATTTAGTAGGTTATCTGAATTTTTAAATCTATTTATTTCAAGTGTTTCTAAATGGTTTAGTTTAATGCCCTTATTTTCTATATAAAAAATTTCAAAGTTGTCTGTAAAAGAATGATTTTCAGCCAAAATATGATTTGAGTAAGTAGAATTATTTTTGTTTTTTGTATAGCTATTATAATGTTCGTAATAGCGCTTTTTGAAATATACAATTTTGGACAACTACCACAATTTTACTCTTATTGTTTTTAATATACTTCCCAAGCGTTTTATTGTTTTTGAAAGCTACGTTAATATTTTTTTTTTTTAAGTATGATGGTCCTTTTCACTAGGAGCTCCTATGTATGTAAGAGTCTTATTTGTGCAATTTTGATCTTTAATTATGGGATAAACTTGTTGAATAGCATGTTTAAAAAGTTTTTTCCCTAAAATGTCATAGAATATCATTAAACAAATAGCAGTAAACAATAATTTTAATTCAAAGTTAGTAGACAACATTTTAGGGAAAAACTTTTTAAACATGCTATTCAACAAGTTTATCCCATAATTAAAGATCAAAATTGCAGATATAAGACTCTTACATATATAGGAACTCCTAGTGAAAAGGTATCATCATATTTAAAAAACCAAAATATTAACATAGCTTTCAAAACCAATAATACGCTTGGGAAGTATATTAAAAGCAATAAGGGTAAAATTAATCCTAATAATAAATCGGAGGTATAAATTAAATTGTGGTAGTTGTCCAAAATTGTATATTGGTCAAACAGGCCGTACTTTCAAAAAGCGCTATTCCGAACATTATAATAGCTATACAAAAAATAAAAATAATTCTACTTACTCAAATCATATTTTGGCTAAAAATCACTCTTTTACAGACAACTTTGAAATTTTACATATAGAAAATAAGGGCATTAAACTAAACCATTTAGAAACACTTGAAATAAATAGATTTAAAAATTCAGATAACCTACTAAATGATCAATTAGATATTAATAACTGACCTTTATTAAATCTCTTTTCTAATTTTCTGTAAGATAATCCCGGTAATGATTATTGTTATCTGATTGATATCATAATTACTTAAGTACCCTTATTTACTTTAAATAGTCAGTTTATTTTGTTATGTTATTGATGTATTTTCTTAATTACTTTGTTTGGTTAAATTACTTCGCATATATATTGGACACCGAATTGTAAATTAGTCACATTTGAAAAAGAAGTACTTCGAAACATATCATGTGTAGTGTTTTTAATTTTTATATTTACTATGCTAATTCTGTACATATAACGCCTCATATAAATTTTCAAAATTGACTTTAGTTATATTAGCTTTTTGAAATTGAATTGGCGTCTTCATATCTTCTATTTCGAATTTTGGTAAAATCAGAGGCGTTCCTTCTTGGATTTGGACGTCGTTAATGTAATTTTCTTCATTAATCCCTATATTACACTTTTTGGGAATTTTTATTAAGACTGGTTTCTCAATTTTCAAATATTGATTGGATTCGCACGTTGAAAGTATTTTTCTAAGTTTTGAGGGCATAAATAAGACTTCGTTTCTTGTGATTTGTTGACTAATTGATTCTTTGATACAGAATACTTGTATATAAAAAATAAAGTACTACTGAAGTCTAATACGTATAAATAAGTGGTTTGTATATAAAATTTCTGGATAATATTAAAATGTATCGCTATGAAGTATAAATGTATAAGAGAAACACCTTTTCTATAAAAAATTTCGTATTAGAGGGTATCGGGACAAAATATACCGTCCGAATTAATTAAATAGTAAGCCACTTTACAAAACCAAGAACATTTTTAAGATTTGCCAACTCGAATCCATAAATAAGAATGGAATTGAACAACTTTAAACAACAAGAATGTTTATAATGGGTTTTCCTCGAAGTGGCATAAATAATTCAGTATATTACTGGCAAACTTTTATTGGAAATATAAATCTTCCTTCCCGTCTTTCAGGTTTGTTTTCTAGTTTTAAAACAAACTTCTTTTCTCGTACAAATTGGAATTTGTCTACCAAAGATTTTTTGATTTGTACAGCGCATTCTTGAACGTCGCCAAAAATTTTTATGCAATTTCTGTGCCAAGTCTAAACATTTTGTAATACAACATTATGTTTACATATAGGGTATTTCGTAAGTAAATCGTGTTAAATTGTTAGTGTATTGGTTTTTTGTCAATCTCTACGGGAAATTCGTCAACATGTTAGATTGATAATTATGCAAAAAAAATAGTACATAAAAATAGCTAAATAGCACATAATCAGGCTTCGCTTATATGTCGAAAATAGGTTTTTTGTAACGCTTTTTTTATAATATAAAGTTATATATGAGAACAAGATAACACATTAATAAGCAATAAAAATAATTATATGTTTCTGGATATAATAAAAACTAATAAAAAACTTTAACAATAATTTCCGATTTGATTTGAAAAATATAAATTTATATAAAGTAAATATTATTTTGTATTACGCATAGCCGTGTTTTCACAGCCAAAATGTGGCAACTGCGATATCCCCGCTATGGCTCTGCTCTCTGGCTTCGTGACTGACAATCGGTTCGGCTAATATCCCACCACCATATCTTCTAATTTTAGTCGACGACTGGTTATTGTCCTGTTGTCATTTTATTAACTTATATGGTAGTCGTATGTCTAACACGAAAAAATAAGTACTATATTTCATAATTACGCAGGGCTAATATCGAATAAATGTAGAATATAAGTTTAAATGTGCAGTTAAAATTATTTTTCAACGAAAGGTTTGTTTATTTTCCATTCT